AAAAAAAAAAAAAAAAAAAAAAAAAAAAAAAAAAAAAAGAGCATCAAGGAGCAAGGGAATGTATGCAAGAAACTAAAGATTGTTATCAGAACAAAAAGCAAGTCAGTCGAGCAGTTTAGAGAAGAAAGCAAACAATGCTTTGAAAACAATACTGTAATTTGACCTCAAGATAAAATTGTCTCTTATGCTCTCCATACTTACTGTTTTTTCTCAACACATTTTCATCAAAGCAAACAGAAACCTTAACATCTTCTCAGGTCATACAGCAAAGAGTGCTGATGTTGATGATACTGTTTTAGATAAAGTGCAAAACTCTCAAATTATTCTGATATTTCATTATAGATAAGTTTGCTGGCTTTCAAGGAGAAACCAGATTTAAGTTCTTAGTCACAAAAGGACAAAAACAAAATCTTAGGACCGAGACTGCATGTTGGTGAACATAGGTATCTTTCATGAAAAAGTTCAGCACAATGAACAGTAGCCTCAATAATAAAAAAGAAAATGCAGTTTACTTTCACAGGTTATATTTTATTTTCTCCAATTTAGGATTCCTAAATTATCAAATTCTGAAGTAACGTAACAGTAAACAGAAAAAAAGTCTTTCTCACACAATTTTCCCCAGTTGTTACTGAACCCAAGTCCAGCCGCCCTCTGCTAAAACGTAAATGACCCAAGGTCAAATTCTTGGTGAAATAGGAAGTCAGTTTTATTCAGGAATACCAGTAGCCTGAGGGAGAAGTTAGGCTTACTGAAAGGAGATGGCCAGAATAAAACCATTTCAAAGACTCAGATTTACTAAGGGGTTTTAAAGGAGGAGGTTGAAGGAATGGAAAGTGGGAGGGGTAGACCGTGAGCTGTGGGGGCTACACATAAAGGGCCAGGTGCAAATTCTTATCAAATCTCCTCTGGCTTCTGTTCTCATCTTGACATTATCTTAGGGTCCTGCAGGATTTTGATTTACTTCAGGGAGGAATCAGCGTAGCTTTATTGATGTCTTCCTTGGTTTTTCAGTGTCTGTATAGTACACGTCTCGCAGCAAGTCTGCAGCTCCAGGCTGACTGGTAAACAACTTTACATTTGCATAATAATGACATCCTGCGCCATAACCAAGGTTCAAAATATCAAATAACCATGGAAAATGAGGGAACTCAGAGAATTACATGCTAAGAAAAAACCAAAAAACAACAATATCCCTCTGTTTTTGAAAAANAAAAAAAAAAAAAAGAAATAGGACAAAAAGATGGGAATTGAAGAGATTTTTAAAGTGTTAATTATGGATTTCATATGAAAGGCAAATCCAGAATAGAAGGTGCATAAGTTTTGAGCCTACATGTGTTGGGGATCACGTGGAAAGCATATCTCCATTAGTGAGAGGAAGAGCACAGTTACTTCTAAATAATGTAAAATCAAAAGTTAGCAGTGTGTTGAAGTGAAAGGAGCAGTGTTGAAAAATGCCTGGGGGTTGGGAGGGCTTGATTCTGATCCCTAATTTTATTAATGGGCTGTGTGACCCAGAAGTAAATTTCTAACTACTATGGAGCTTAGTATCTTTGAATTTGAAATGAAAGATTTATGTTAGATGATCAGCAATGTCCTCTCAACTTCAAAAATACAAATTTTGTGAATGTGGCGGCTTCATTGGAGAGCAAAATTTTGCATAATTGTGTCCTTTTCTAACTAGAGATTTTGTCTCTCGAAATGATATGCATGATTTGTTTCATTGCAGAGTGTCACATTATATCATATTACTATACTAGAGTGACCCAGACAACAAACAGCCTCATAAATTTCCATGTTTAATATCTACATATAATATTAAAACTCAAATTAGCCTACTTTTAGTTGTGATAAGACATTTAAACATTTTCACCAAAGAAGAAAGCA